GCACAATATTGCATGACCTATATGGACGTTACGTGGATAGTACTATCATACAATTAACTTTATAAATGCAATGAGGTTGCTCAGATAACGCGTCTTGTAACCAACGGGAAAAAGTTTTTTATTTCTTTTTTTTTTCAGCTCACGAGCTATCATCATAACGTGCAGTTTTACGCAGTCACGCAACATTACAGCAAATTAGAAATTTCTGCTATTAGCTAAACTTTGTGTTCTTAATACTTTTATGTCGTCCCTCATTGTATAAATATATATTTAATACTTTGAACCCAATCATGCGTATCAAGTCTAAATTTACATTTCAAGATAACCGCGAAGAATAAAGGACAAAGTATGGAGAAAAAGAGAGAAAAAGGAAGGCAGGAAGCCATGAAACTACGTAGGAAACGATATAGGAAACAAGTATATCGAAGTCGACAGCTAGCCCGATAACGAGAAAGACGAGCGAGGCAAAGCGAACGTTTTTATAATCGCCGCAATTATCTGCGAGGCCGAAGTCGAGCATATATAACCTTAGCGCGCAACAGCTTCAAGGGGCACTACTTCTTATCGGGACACTGACTGCGTGCCGGTGTGGTTGCATGCGGAGGCTGATAAACAAATAATTAGCATTCGAAGTAACCCGCATTCGCATTATCGCTGGCATCGCTCTCCTCGCCAAGAGAAGGCTTGGCTCGCATAACCCTTCGTTGACGTACTTACCCAACGTGCTCCGACGTGACCTGACGAAGACCTGGCCACGTTTAACGGCATTCCGTGCCGCCCGCTACATTTTCGCTCGTGTTGTACCTGGACGGGTAATTAGTGCGCTATGGAAATCGCGTTCAACAATTCGACCGCTCGATCTAGGTATGTTTCTTTCCTCGCGGAATGTTTTGCGTGTCCGCGTAAGCGTATCGAGATTGTAAAGAGAATGCCAACGAGATCGTTCGAGGCAGAAGTAATAATACCATTTTAAATTATAATTCGATGGTATACACCGTATCTGTAACACGTTACAATTTGCATGGTAATAACAGTTACATTACTTATCTACGATGTTATACGTACTTTGTGAATAATTGTTGCCAGGTTCTTTCGTAGCACGAAATAAACCACTGTTAAATGACAAATACGAATGGATTATATTTTAGAATTAATTCAGGTTCTTTCCTGAAATACCTTGAAATCATAATATATTTCAAAATATAAACAATTATTCTTAAATATATATTATGTTTTATTAGATATTGACTTAGAAGAAATAATTTTTCCAACATTAGCATATATTAATATTTATCTTCACAATGAAATAAGATAGTATCGTAATTAAATCGTTTTGGACGGTCTGTATAAAGATGGTAAAGGGATAAAAAAAACTATATGTATGGTATAAAGAGAAATAACGACCAGTGTGATTCAGTTAAACATACAAAATCAGAAATTAAAATACGCAAAGGCCTTGATGATGTAGTTAGTCAATACTACTGGCTGGGGGCTGCTCAATGCAGGTGGATCCAATCAGAAACTCGACCATGCCGGCTTGGCAGGTGTTTGGAGATCGCGGTCAATGGCTCTCAAGAACGACCGACATTTTTTACACCGAAAGCAGAAAAGAGCGCCGACTAATTTTGCGCGGCGCTCCATTAAGGAACACGAAGCAATCCTTTTTCCGCGGCTTCGTTTGTTCGTTTAATTGTCTCTATCCGACTAATTCGTTGACAACGACTTGATAGCAGAAATAAATTTCTAAGTCGTTTCTTAAAGGACTTGTGTTCTAGTTGAAAAAGTACAAATTAAAATTTGTAAATAAAAGAAATGTCTTCTTGCCTTTAGAAAAGAAAAATTCTTTCGTCCTATATTTAAAAGAGAGGAGAATTATTTGTATCTTTACTGTAGAATTCTCGATATTTAGGATTTCGTTAGCGTGTATGCATAAAGTACTGATCGTCGAAGTACGCATGTCTCGCCTGATGTGCGAACGAGGGTTCTCCTCAGGCTGAAAGGGGAATAAAAGTTTGACACGGACGTCGGATGCGGTTCGCCACGAAGCTCGACCGGTAGACACCCCACGGTTTGTTGCTTCGCACCCTCGCTGTCGGGTCTTTTACCTCCCTCGCATTCAGCTGTCACGTGGCTCGTGCTCGAACGATCGCCAGCGTTTCCGCTTTATTTTCCGCCATCCGGCGCCGCGTTGCATCGGGTGTCGAGTGACCGATCTCGTTAACGATCTCGGTGGTCGATACTTCCTGGCACGTTCGAGGTCTGACCAGTCGGAAAGCAATCGCGCGATGCGTCGACGCGAATGAGTTCTTGGAAAAAGATCCGAGCCGATGCAGACGGGACGAGGCGAGACAAGCGAGGATTCTTCGTTTTAATTTATGCGCGGCGTAGCTTCGGGCATTATTAGTCCTAGCTGGCTACGAGGGGCGTGACGTCACGCGGCTAAAACAAAGGATCCTACCGGTGCCCATTTCACGTCGGCTCCCTTTTAACCGTGCCGACAGGAGGGTGCGAGGGACCTGGGCCTCACCGATGCCGAGTAGTTTGGCACTCTTTACGCTCCGTCAATTTTGTACTACGCACTTTTTTACCTACCTACGCGATCATCGCACTTCCGCTGACCATTATTTAGTCGAATCTCTTGCAATTATTTTGAACTTGAGGTTAATAATTCAAAACTTACTTCACTATGAAGATATCTGCAAGAAATAGCAAAACAAAAGATAATAAAATAGCTGCGAATCGTGATTGTGAGATGGTTAACGTGTACGCGCGCGACGCGCCATGGAGGGCGTGTATCCACGCGTAGGGTTTAGCGGTGGAGATTGTGTGGAGGGAGCTGATCGAGGGACGTCGTTGTCTCCGCAGGCCACTGTCATATTGTCCCGGCGGATCGATACGTGGCCTGCCTACAACCTGCACTCATCGAGCTTGAAGAGGGCGTGGCTCGTACACCGGCGGAGAGACACTCAACCCCGTTGCGATCTCCGCCGTGCTAAACCTTCCGCCTCCCTCTTGACGTAAAAGCGGGAGAGACGATTTCGTCCTTTCAACCCTCCGCGGTTCTCTCGTGCCAGTCGTCACCCTCTACGACCTCCGCGTCAACGAGCGCTCCCATTCGTCGAGAGCATTGTAACGGGGAGCAATCACCCTGCATTTGGAGATTTCTCGGAATAATAACTCTCGATACTTTCCGACATTTCATCGTTCAAGCATAAATTACAGATATTTCGTTCGATTTGTAACGTCCTTGAGATATAAATTCTTTTTATCCACACTTAACACTTAGTTATTTTATTATTACTTTTGAGTTAAAAATAACGACATTGTAAATCACTCGGAAAGCCTTGAATCGGTGTTCATATACGAGCATATCCTAAATAACGATCATATACAACAATGTGTCATGTTACTGCGAAGAAATATGAGCAGGACATTTGTTGTACACGTTGATGAATGATCAGGGCAACCGAGCAGAACTCTGGATCTCTTCGGAGAATAGATCGAGCGCAGTGCGGTTGCGACTCCTCCGTTTTTCCTTTCTCTCTCTCCCCCCCCCCTCTCCCCCCGCTTTTTCACCTCTCGCTCTCTCTCACGTCGCTTTCATCCTGGGAAGGGTGCGCGCGTTCGTTGTCTTTCGCCGGTGTTGCTGGCGCAAGGTTGAATCCACGTGGGGGCGTGTCGCCTCCATGGCGCCGGCTGCTAATGGCCGCGCGGCCCTCCAGACCTTAATTTCCTGCCGCTTCCGCGGACCCTCTCGCTTTTACCTCTCCACGTCCAAATCCGTTTCGGGACCTCTCCTCTTCAGCCTCCGGCCCTTCGGTAGCCGCCGACACTCTCCTTGTCCTTTCACCTCCGCGCTAACCCCGCGAGCGATTTGCATGGAGTTGCTTTTGATGAAGTTCGTTATCTAAAGTTTCAGCTTCTGCCGCTCTAATTTTTAGCTCGCACACAAATTGTGCTCCCTCTAATTCCTCGCGCCACGTATGCGCGAAAGAACATGATTGCTCCGCAAATTTCTCAGAATTGGGAGGCTTATTGAAATTTGCTAAGAGATTCACACACAAATTATGTCGTTATTGAATTTACTCAATTTGCATCGAAAGTTCTCATCACGTTTGTATTACAAATTATAATTCTTATCTCGTTGTTGGTCATATTATTTACGTGATATCTAAGCTATTTGATCCTGATGTTCTACGTATTTATTGTTTCCAAGATCATAACATTTTCCCACGTTATTTTGGATCGCTTAATATGGTATCATGGAAATCGTACATCGACCTTGTGCTTGATTCGAGAACAATTTGCATGAAAGCGGTCTAGGTAGAGCGATTGGTCTATCCGGGTCTCATTACTTTCAGCGACTAATCTTGAATCTCTTCTAGGATAGGAACGGCAATTTAGTGTCATTATACGCCCTTAGGGGAAGACTTTCCTCTTTCTCTCTCCTTGGAGGATCTGGGCCCAAACCGAGGCTTCTTTTTAGATCGATTTAGACGCGATGGGGCGATTATGGGCGTCCATCGACCGCCAGATTTCGATATTACGAACCGTGCTAGCACGAAAAAGTATCTTGATAGTCCCGTGAATCGATACGCGTGATACGTAATTCGCTCCAGAGTTGTTATTACCGATTTGCGTAATCGTACGACGAGATTGCTTCATAACGAGCATTTCCGATGTTAAAAATTCTGAAAAGAACTGGTAATGCATGCGCGAGCATTGTTCAGTTAGCACATTGTAAATCGAGGTCGTGCATGTCCGTAAACATTTGTTAGATGTCCTTAATAAAGAAAATGTGTCGTATTTATAATTTTTTATAAATATAAATCGAGTGTAAAGGCAACGGAATATAAGATTGAAATGTGAATCATACATCGCGTCGTATGACAATATATGCCCTAAGATAAAAATGTCAAAAGATATTGATAAGCAAATCTTTTCTTTCGCAGCAAAGTATGGATCAAAAAATAAGGATAGATTTTATGATGATGTTACAGGATCATCCAGGATTACGAGGCACGCCTTTGGCCATGCTGGCGGCGCAATGCAACAAACTAAGCAGTAAAAGTCCGCCGCCGTTGGCGGACGCAGCCGTAGGCAAAGGTTTCCACCCTTGGAAAAAGAGCCCACAAAGTAGCGGCAGCTCACCACAGCACACCACCGGCGGCGGGGGAGGTGGCAGCGGAGGTGGAGGAGGCGGCGGTAGCGGTGGGTGCACAACGACGGGAGTGAGCCAGAGACCGGCGGCGACGAGCAGCGCCGGCAGCACGACCGGTGGTTACGCCAGGGCGCCGGTAACGTCTTGCGCCTCGACCGCACCGCAATATGGTAGCGACTTGTATTTCCCCGGAACGGCGAGCGCTCAACCGGCCGGCGATCCACATCATCATCAGAGTAGTCTTTTGGGCAAAGTCGAAGGCGCGACTTTGGGCTCGGTGTACGGGAGGCATCCGTACGAGTCGTGGCCGTTCAACGCGATGCCAGGCGCGACGCACGGCGGAATTAAAGCGAGCGATGGTTGGTGGGATGTGCACGGCGCCGCGACCGCCGGCGGATGGCTAGACGTAAGCAGCACTGTTGGCGTCGGTGTCCACGCGGCGCAAATGGCCAATTACTCGGCCGACTACTCGACGAGCCTAGCGCTGGCCGGTAACCATTTGCTAACCACAGCTACGACGGCTGGTCACAATCTCTTGCAAGACACGTACAAATCAA